TGCAGTTAGCAAAGATTGGGATAGCCGTGCGCCTTGCAGTTAGCAAAGATTGGGATAGCCGTGCTCCTTGCAGTTAGCAAAGATTGGGATAGCCGTGCTCCTTGCAGTTAGCAAAGATTGGGATAGCCGTGCTCCTTGCAGTTAGCAAAGATTGGGATAGCCGTGCTCCTTGCAGTTAGCAAAGATTGGGATAGCCGTGCGCCTTGCAGTTAGCAAAGATTGGGATAGCCGTGCTCCTTGCAGTTAGCAAAGATTGGGATAGCCGTGCTCCTTGCAGTTAGCAAAGATTGGGATAGCCGTGCTCCTTGCAGTTAGCAAAGATTGGGATAGCCGTGCTCCTTGCAGTTAGCAAAGATTGGGATAGCCGTGCTCCTTGCAGTTAGCAAAGATTGGGATAGCCGTGCTCCTTGCAGTTAGCAAAGATTGGGATAGCCGTGCTCCTTGCAGTTAGCAAAGATTGGGATAGCCGTGCTCCTTGCAGTTAGCAAAGATTGGGATAGCCGTGCTCCTTGCAGTTAGCAAAGATTGGGATGGACGTGCTCCTTGCAGTAAGCAAAGATTGGGATGGACGTGCTCCTTGCAGTAAGCAAAGATTGGGATGGACGTGCTCCTTGCAGTTAGCAAAGATTGGGATGGACGTGCTCCTTGCAGTTAGCAAAGATTGGGATGGACGTGCTCCTTGCAGTTAGCAAAGATTGGGATGGACGTGCTCCTTGCAGTTAACAGAGATTGGGATGGACGTGCTCCTTGCAGTTAACAGAGATTGGGATGGACGTGCTCCTTGCAGTTAGCAGAGATTGGGATGGACGTGCTCCTTGCAGTTAGCAGAGATTGGGATGGACGTGCTCCTTGCAGTTAGCAGAGATTGGGATGGACGTGCTCCTTGCAGTTAGCAGAGATTGGGATGGACGTGCTCCTTGCAGTTAGCAGAGATTGGGATGGACGTGCTCCTTGCAGTTAGCAGAGATTGGGATGGACGTGCTCCTTGCAGTTAGCAGAGATTGGGATGGACGTGCTCCTTGCAGTTAGCAGAGATTGGGATGGACGTGCTCCTTGCAGTTAGCAGAGATTGGGATGGACGTGCTCCTTGCAGATAGCAGAGATTGGGATGGACGTGCTCCTTGCAGATAGAGATTGGGATGGACGTGCTCCTTGCAGATAGCAGAGATTGGGATGGACGTGCTCCTTGCAGATAGCAGATTGGGATGGACGTGCTCCTTGCAGATAGAGATTGGGATGGACGTGCTCCTTGCAGATAGAGATTGGGATGGACGTGCTCCTTGCAGATAACAGATTGGGATGGACGTGCTCCTTGCAGATAGAGATTGGGATGGACGTGCTCCTTGCAGATAGAGATTGGGATGGACGTGCTCCTTGCAGATAGAGATTGGGATGGACGTGCTCCTTGCAGATAACAGATTGGGATGGACGTGCTCCTTGCAGATAGCAGAGATTGGGATAGCCGTGCTCCTTGCAGATAGCAGAGATTGGGATAGCCGTGCTCCTTGCAGTTAGCAAAGATTGGGATAGCCGTGCTCCTTGCAGTTAGCAAAGATTGGGATAGCCGTGCTCCTTGCAGTTAGCAAAGATTGGGATGGACGTGCTCCTTGCAGTTAGCAAAGATTGGGATGGACGTGCTCCTTGCAGTTAGCAAAGATTGGGATGGACGTGCTCCTTGCAGTTAGCAAAGATTGGGATGGACGTGCTCCTTGCAGTTAGCAAAGATTGGGATGGACGTGCTCCTTGCAGTTAGCAAAGATTGGGATGGACGTGCTCCTTGCAGGAAGCAGAGATTGGGATGGACGTGCTCCTTGCAGGAAGCAGAGATTGGGATGGACGTGCTCCTTGCAGGAAGCAGAGATTGGGATGGACGTGCTCCTTGCAGGAAGCAGAGATTGGGATGGACGTGCTCCTTGCAGGAAGCAGAGATTGGGATGGACGTGCTCCTTGCAGGAAGCAGAGATTGGGATGGACGTGCTCCTTGCAGGAAGCAGAGATTGGGATGGACGTGCTCCTTGCAGGAAGCAGAGATTGGGATGGACGTGCTCCTTGTAGGAAGCAGAGATTGGGATGGACGTGCTCCTTGTAGGAAGCAGAGATTGGGATGGACGTGCTCCTTGTAGGAAGCAGAGATTGGGATGGACGTGCTCCTTGCAGTTAGCAGAGATTGGGATGGACGTGCTTGTAGGAAGCAGAGATTGGGATGGACGTGCACCTTGTCGGAAGGTTTCTCTTAAGGGTAAAAGTGTGTAAAGAAAGCAAGAGATTTATACCAGTGTAGGAAGCGTGGGAAATAATACTGGAGTGGTGAAGAAAAGATAGAAAAGTAGTGACAGAGAAAAAGTAGTCACAGAGGAAAAGTAGTGATCCTCTGAGGGCAAGAGGGAACAATCTCGAGTAAAAGAGCAGAGCCTATTGCAAAATATGTTCAATAAGTACATGTGCGTAAAGAGTGAAAGGGTGGCAGTGGGAGGTCCACCATGGGAGACTGGGGGTTGGCAGGGCATGGATGGCGAGAGACCCGAATCCAAGCTAAACTGGATTTCGGACAAATACCATTTATCAAGCCTAACAGATCTGATATTACACCCTTGGTTAGGTTTGTTGCTTATTTTTGGGGTTCCTTCATACCAATAAAGGCGAGTTAGACATGCGATAATATTGCTCTCAGGACGTACGGAAATTAAATTAACACGACAGATACAGATTAAAAATTGTGTGAAAATTAGTTAGGGAACAAAAATATTTAAAATAAGGGGTTCAGAGGACATGGGTTGGGCCAGCTATAAGTATATTGTACACTTATTTGAACTGGAAATGGTACAAAACAGGATAATTATAATATAGATACTTCCTTACACCTGAAGCAGCTCCAGCAGGGTGTTGGCCAACACTGACGAGATGTGAAACGGTGACATACATTAACAAGTCTGTTCATTATTTGTAAAAGCCAAATTGTGATATAGGCTCTGCACGACATATACTAGTAAGTACGTTAACTTTGCCTAACAGTAATATTAACAATTCTTTCACAACTAAACACGCGTACCTAACATTGTACCAACTTATTAACAGTGCACACAAGACGAAGCAAACTACCGTAGTCCCATTTGCATTATTTTGGTAAGTCACAAGCCTAACACAAATCTATGCGTCAGAGGCTTTATCAGCCTTAAATTTATATTTCAGCTGTAAAGTAAATTAACAAAGAGTTGCTATAGATTGCATCATCAAACTATAAACTTCCGCAATTTGGCTAGCAGTATATGGTAAACTGGTTAATTAAAATTTTAGGAAAATTATAGACATGTTTACGAGAATTACAAAATAGTCAATGTATAACATTACACAAATCAAATATCAATCTGTCGTTTAAAAAAAACACTGGTATAATTTGAAATTTTCCTGTACCCGTGAATAGCCTAATGACAACTTCCAAATTCATTCAACATTTCCAGACCACAAAATTTGTTCTTTACAGTGACTTAACTTTACGCGTAGTAATATTTATGATTGACCATGATACTGCCCCACTCAAAGTAAAACTACTAATCACTGATAAACATGATTCAAACCGTAGTTTTTCTTTTTGCGTTTCCATTTGAATAACCCACACGAGTCAAGGACTAGCCGGTTGGCTAGCCATTTATTGAAGGCCGTAGTTTCATATCCTTGAACAAACTTCCCAGAGATTGGCTAGTAGCACGTAAAATACTTCTGTGAATTCTTACACTGTGAATTCTATCAACAGATGCTCTCGCACAACACATTCATTAAGAAGGCAAGTATACATAAAAACTAGATCGTCGTAGCCTAATTTTGTACACTAAAAACGTGGATTTGCTATATATCCACATGGAATTCTACTTCTTAAAGTCATTTCTCATTTGTCAACAACGGAAATTCCTCTGCGTCAAACAAGCACCAGTAAACTATCAAATGACAACACACGCTTGACGTACAAGAAACAAAAAAAAATTTCGTAATTCATTTTGGCCCTGGCTATTGTAGTGCAGAATATCTTCAGTCTACATCGATTTCCGCAGCCTTACATAACCTTATTGTGTGCCCCGTGCAGCCATCTTGTTACTTGTTCACACCTCGCGTTCATTTCAGTTTTTTCCTGAAACAACTGACTTAACAGCAACTACTATAGGTTTTAAACCTAGTCCTACTAGTTTATGTGACTAAACTAATCAGCAACTTGTATAATTACATAAAGATCAGTGAAGGTGGAGAATGCCGCCAACCTGCCCACGCCGCCACCTCCCCCCACACCCCCCATCCCGACAACTTTAGTCACTAGGGAAATGCAAATTGTAAACGGTCAGAACACATACTTAACAAAATGCAATATTCCCGATTTTATTCGTTTAAAATACCGAAGAATTTGCAATTTCAAGAAGCGTGCTCCGAGCCAGAAGCACTAAAAAAGGAGAACATTTTATAAACGATTTACCTTCGGCTACGATGGAAGTCTAACTAACCAGCTATATCTAACCACCCTTGCAGCGACTACTAAACAACAGGCTCTCAGGGGAGTTAACTACCGTGGGTGTGAGCCCAGGTAAGGGCCCCGTACTGATCCCGTCCTGACACACCACCATACCCCACACTGGCCGCCTACAGGAGCCTCCACAACTGGCTATATAATATTCCGGGTGGCGTTGAGGTCTTGCAAATGGCGCAGCTCTCTCGATCTCTTATTACTCGCCAAATATATCTAATGCTCCATCAGCGGGTTAGTCCTGGCTAAGATTTACAACGAGTCACTTAATAAAAGTTTCTCACGAGTACACTTGTATTTGATCTTGCGAGAGAACACGCAAATCTCCCTCAAACACCCAACGAGGTCCATTGTCGCCAAAACTCGCAGAATTGCTCAACGAGACACTTGGATTCTTCGCTAGCAACACAAAACACGCAGAATTCTGAGCAAAGTGACAATCCTCGGACTTAATTCTCAATATTTTTGAGTACAGTTGTGGTGTAAGACTGACCTCCTCTTCAGCAGCTGCTGTGTTCACGGAGTCCATGCTCTGGGAGAGTGCGTTGCTGTTCTCCATGGTCACGCTGGTCATCGTGCTGTGCGCTGTGCTATTGTGTGGTGCTCGCTGTGTGGTACAGGGAGGAGGAGAGGATGAAAAGAAGAAATAAAGTCACAGAAACGTAAGGACGTGACTTCCTCGCTTCACCCACACACACGGACTGCCGGAGATAGCGGCCGGGAACTCAGGTGTGCGGACCGTGACGTCACCTCGCCCCGCCTACCGCCCCGCGAGGGAACTGGAGTTGGGTGGATTACCTGCCGGAACACTTTCCTATTGTTTTCTTACTTGCGCACTTCCTACTCTTTCTTTGTTAATAAGCCCCCAGTATCTCCCACAACTTAATAGCCGGGCACTTAAAGCTGGATAATAACCTAATATTAGCAGTGAATTGACCGTTGGATTGTATTGAGTAGGCGGGGTCAGGATGTAGAGGAGATAGGCGCCGCCCCTCCAGGTAGAGGCAGTGGGGGGGAGAGGAGCTGCAGGGGTCACAGCCCCACCTGGCCTGAGCTATGAGCCCTGGCGGCCCACCCTTCGATCCACGCCCCATGCTACGTGGCATACCACCTCTGGCCCAATGGCTTTATGAGGCGGGTATAATATGTGGCGCGCTCCACCACTCTACTCCATTATTCAGAGCGGTTTGTTGGGCCTGTGAGTGCCTTGCTCATGTCACAGGTCAGATATCCACTGACGTACCAGTTTTCAATAGACACACCAGTGTAGATATCCCAAATTACACCAAACGAGGAGCTCCTGGACGCCAGATCCCCGCCAAAACTACAATCATAGTTATGGGTCATACCAAGCTACGCTCTACCAGGGTTACCATCATGCCTACTCCTGCCGAGCCGTCAGCCATTGTGGCGTAATATTCCACTCCTATTTCGTCCACTTAAAAAACCATTCTGTTTCTCGGTACTCCTTCCCGCCTCGTGTCGCACGGGAGGACTCGCCCAGGTGCCCACGCGAATATTAATCCTAATTATTGTGCATTATATTCGGACCCGTTTCTTGGGGGCTGTGGAGCCACCACCAAGCTTACGCCCTACACACCTTCATCACCCACACGTGTCACAGTTGCTAGTGAACCACTACAGTCACTAGTGAACCATTAGTCACTAGAGAATCACTACAGTCACTAGTGAACCACTACAGTCACTAGTGAGCCATCACAGTCACTAGTGAGCCATCACAGTCACTAGTGAGCCATTACAGTCACTAGTGAGCCATCACAGTCACTAGTGAACCACCACAGTCACTAGTGAACCATTACAGTCACTAGTGAACCACTACAGTCACTAGTGAACCACCACAGTCACTAGTGAACCACCACAGTCACTAGTGAACCACCACAGTCACTAGTGAACCACCACAGTCACTAGTGAACCACCACAGTCACTAGTGAACCACCACAGTCACTAGTGAACCACCACAGTCACTAGTGAACCATTACAGTCACTAGTGAACCACTACAGTCACTAGTGAACCACCACAGTCACTAGTGAACCACCACAGTCACTAGTGAACCACCACAGTCACTAGTGAACCACCACAGTCACTAGTGAGCCATCACAGTCACTAGTGAACCACCACAGCCACTAGTGAACCACTACAGTCACTAGTGAGCCATCACAGTCACTAGTGAGCCATCACAGTCACTAGTGAGCCATCACAGTCACTAGTGAACCACCACAGTCACTAGTAAGCCATCACAGTCACTAGTGAACCACTACAGTCACTAGTGAACCACTACAGTCACTAGTGAACCACCACAGTCACTAGTGAACCACTACAGTCACTAGTGAACCACTACAGTCACTAGTGAACCACTACAGTCACTAGTGAACCACCACAGTCACTAGTGAACCACCACAGTCACTAGTGAACCACCACAGTCACTAGTGAACCACCACAGTCACTAGTGAGCCATCACAGTCACTAGTGAACCACTACAGTCACTAGTGAACCACTACAGTCACTAGTGAACCACCACAGTCACTAGTGAACCACCACAGTCACTAGTGAACCACCACAGTCACTAGTGAACCACCACAGTCACTAGTGAACCACCACAGTCACTAGTGAACCACCACAGTCACTAGTGAACCACCACAGTCACTAGTGAACCACCACAGTCACTAGTGAACCACCACAGTCACTAGTGAGCCATCACAGTCACTAGTGAACCACTACAGTCACTAGTGAACCACTACAGTCACTAGTGAACCACTACAGTCACTAGTGAACCACTACAGTCACTAGTGAACCACCACAGTCACTAGTGAACCACTACAGTCACTAGTGAACCACTACAGTCACTAGTGAACCACTACAGTCACTAGTGAACCCCTTCGGTCATTTGTAAACCACAAACGTGCCTAAGATATCACAAGGAATCACTAGGTTACCAGAGCTGCCATTATGAAGCCATCAAATTAAAAATTGTAACATTGCACCCTAGGACTACAAGTTACTAAGGCACCACAACACAGTCACTAGGGCACAGCAACACAGTCACTAGGGCACAACAACACAGTCAGCAGGACACAGTTACCAGGACAACATAGCCAGCAGCGAAAAATAATACATATACACAACAACATACATCACCACAATACAGTTGGAGATCACAACATAGTCATTAGAGCAACTCAAAAACATTCACAAAGTACAAAGGAGAGAGAGAGAGAGAAAGTGAGAGAGTGAGAGTGAGAGAGAGTTCGAGCGCCACACGGGTGGGACACGAACAAGGGGACACAGGTGGAAGCTGAGTACCCAAATGAGCCACAGAGACGTCAGAAAGAACTTTTTTCAGTGTCAGAGTAGTTAACAGGTGGAATGCATTAAGCAGTGATGTGGTGGAGGCTGACTCCATACACAGTTTATAATGTAGATATGATAGAGCCCAGTAGGCTCAAGAACCTGTACACCAGTTGATTGACAGTTGAGAGGCGGGACCAAAGAGCTAGAGCTCAACCCCCGCAAGCACAAGCACGCGCGTCCACTTGCTTGCTCCCCCCTCCCTCCCACACACACACACACACACACACCACGCCATGTTCAACACCTGCTTGACTCCCAAACACCGCACCACACCGCCTCGCCTCACCACCTTCCATACCGCCACTCCTCGCCGCCTAAACCCAAATTTCTTCTCTATCGCTCTTAGCAAATCTGCGCATGTGATTTGCTAAGTGAACCACTACAGTTCACTTAGCAGGTAGGTAAACACAGGCAGTTCCTAGCCTGTGTTTACCTACCCCTAGCCTGTGTTGTACACTGAGGCGGGAGTATAGCACATAAGGCGGCAGGACACACACACATGGAGATATGACAGTGACATCCACAACACTGAGGGGCAGCTGACAGGGTGGACTATGGCAAGGATTTCTATAACTATGGGGATACTGGTAGACAGGCGGAGGCCTGGCAGGACGTGGTCTACAGGGGAACCTTCAGGAGTTCCGGTAATGAGGTCATTCAGAACACTGTAACCATCTACACCTGTACCTACCTGTCTGTCAAGTGCCTGAGACCGATTCTAAAGTATGCGGCCCTTGACATGAATTCTCCACCTCAAGCATAGAGCTTCAGCGTATTAAGAACAGCGCCTCAGTGTTTCAAGCGCTCAGTCAAACACAAGGCATCAGTGTATCAAGCACAGCGCCTCGGTGTTTAACGCAGAGCGCTTCAGTGTATAGCGCACAGTGATTCAATGGAAGCCTGGTCGTTAGGGCTGGGACGCTGCTCATTCTGGAAGAGCGGCTCCGTTACCAGCGGATCTGTGTGGCAGCTCTACTGGCAAGGCTGTCAAAGTCACCCTGCTGGAACACGGGGTCATGTGGTGGCTGAGGGCCCCTACAGCGGTAGTCACCCTGCTGGAACACGGGGTCACGTGGTGGCTGAGGGGCCCCTACAGCGGTAGTCACCTACTGGAACACGGGGTCACGTGGTGGCTGAGGGGCCCCTACAGCGGTAGTCACCTAGTGGAACACGGGGTCACGTGGTGGCTGAGGGCCCCTACAGCGGTAGTCACCCTGCTGGAACACGGGGTCTCGTGGTGGCTGAGGGGCCCCTACAGCGGTAGTCACCCTGCTGGAACACGGGGGTCACGTGGTGGCTGAGGGCCCCTACAGCGGTAGTCACCCTGCTGGAACACGGGGTCACGTGGTGGCTGAGGGGCCCCTACAGCGGTAGTCACCCTGCTGGAACACGGGGTCACGTGGTGGCTGAGGGCCCCTACAGCGGTAGTCACCCTGCTGGAACACGGGGTCACGTGGTGGCTGAGGGCCCCTACAGCGGTAGTCACCCTGCTGGAACACGGGGTCACGTGGTGGCTGAGGGCCCCTACAGCGGTAGTCACCCTGCTGGAACACGGGGTCACGTGGTGGCTGAGGGCCCCTACAGCGGTAGTCACCCTGCTGGAACACGGGGTCACGTGGTGGCTGAGGGCCCCTACAGCGGTAGTCACCCTGCTGGAACACGGGGTCACGTGGTGGCTGAGGGCCCCTACAGCGGTAGTCACCCTGCTGGAACACGGGGTCACGTGGTGGCTGAGGGCCCCTACAGCGGCAGGACGTGGTGGATGGGACTGGCCAGCACGGTGGCACGGAGCGGCTGGAAGTATCAGAACAGCAGAGTTAAGTTGACTTACACGGACACTGATACAGACCACTGTGGTACTCTTCGCCATGAGCCTATTAGCCCTGGGTACTGGACGGTGCCCGGGGGTAATCTCTCTCCCCTCCCCCACATTCCACCCCTCTACTCCCCCCCACAACCCTCGTCTTCCCTCACCGTCCCCGCTCCCCCTTCTCTACCCAGTCCGGCCTCCAACCTCGAACAGACAGATATTTCCATATATATACAGAAGGGGTACCCGGTTGCACCCGGGTCTCTTTCTCTCTTCCCAAATCTTTAACCAACTTTCCATTCCCCCTTCGTCCGCTCCCCTTGGGGACCCCCCCTGCTTCCCCCTTTCTCTCATACCATTTATTAAAAATCACTGTTGAGTATGTGTGTATATAACCTCCATGTTGAGTGTGTATAACATACGCGTTATACACATACTGGAAGCTGTGTCTCACAGGCGCGACACATTCCCTGGGGCTTCTTACCTGCACATGAATTTCTCTTGTTTGCTTAGTAGAGCCGAGATGTGTATGGTAAACTCTCCACATCCTCTACATTCATATTTTTAACACGAGGATTATATAGAGTCGCTTTTTGTTGAGCTGGCGTTTGTAGCCATATAAACCTGCCCGAGTGTAGGTGTGGACATGGGGCCAGGCAGC